AAGTACACATCCCTAACTTAGGTGTCGAAGTGTAATCCCAAAATTTCCCCAAATTACAATTGTGTTAGGGTGCAAAGTTCTTCGTGGATGTGACTTACCCTCTTATATGTGTAGATGGGTTTAGTCTTTCCTATAAATAAGAAGTGAGTGACTCCCATTTAGTTAAGAACTTGTAAGACCCATTTGTGAGTGTTAGTTTAGTGAGAGGTATTTACTCCTTGTGTTCTTGATGCTTGCATGATTCGCTAGATCTTTTCAATTCCGCACATGTCATCGTAATTAGGGTCACTACAATTGGTATCAGAGCGGGTGTTCTTAAAGCTTTCAAGAATTTATCCATGATGACTACATGATTTGAGTGAATATTTATTGTTGTGGGTTCTGTTGGATTAGGTCTCTAAGCTCATAACTATAATCGGTCTATACTTAAATTGATAGTAGCACAGTCTTTTGGGTTGCCCTCAAGACTAGCAACTAGACATGATGATTTTAGAAAGAGGGGTTGATTTATTGTTTGATTAATAAATTGAAATAAATAATTTGTTAATATATTATGAGAATAATATATTAATTAGAAATAGTAATATTTAATTAATATTTAATCAGAAATTAATTGTAATTAATTTTGGGATTAAACGAATTAATTAAAAGTGCGGGGACTAAAGTACAATTGTTCAATAGTTGAGCAAGAGGCAATCTAGAACCCTCCATTAGGCTTGGACTGTTTCTTGTAGCCTAAGGGGTTCTAGAATAATCCATGGTGGATAAACAAGAAAGTGGATAATTACTCGGTTTAAGATAGTCTTGGATTAGGGCTTATCTAGGGTTTACTGACTGCACTATAAATTGAGCTTCAACCCTAGAATTTTTGGCCACTCATTCTTTGGAATACATGGCCAAATTTCCTAGCCTCTCTCCTCCTTCTCAGTCATCTTCCATTGCTAGTGTTTGGTGTGAATCATTAGTGACGCGACATTTGTGGCGCTTGCTCTCAAGGCTTCAGCAACACAAATAATTTCATTGTTATTGCTAAATAGCAATCAAGGTATGTTTCTCTTAACCCTAATTAGTTTAAATTAAAATATGCTAGTGTTCTAGGGTTTCTATTTTATTGTTCAAGATGTATGTTCAATTAGAGAAAACACAGATCAATATTTAGGGTTGCATGCACACATAGGATTTATATGCTTTACATAATACCCATAAGGTTCTTCATCTTTGAGAAAGTTTGTTTTCTAGAAATCAAATTTATTTCCTAATTTGATTCAAAAGTTCATATTTCTCTCTCTAGAATACTTGTTTGTTTCGTTTTCTCTCTCTAGAACTTGGTTTATATTCACTTTCTATCTCTAGAAAAATCCAAGTTTTAGTAATCATGGTGTATTTGGATTATGATTATTGGGTTGTGATGATGTCAAATACAAAGTCAATGAGAAACAATTTTACAGGTTATTGTTGAAAGGCGGGTTGATTACATGGGAAACTTTGATTTCTTATGAAGGATTGAAAGATGATCATGGAAAGTAGATATTTCAAACTCTTAATAAAGATTCACCCAAATCATGTAGTCATCATGGATAAATTCTTGAGAGCTTCAAGAACACCCGCTCTGATACCAGATGTAGCGACCCTGATTATGATGACATATGCAAAATTGTAAAGATCTAGTGAACATACAAACATCAAGAACACAAAGAGTAAATAAAATCATTTAAGCTCCATTAGAATAATAAAAGTACAAGTGGGTTTTAGATATTCTCTCACTAAACTAACACTTACAAATGGGTCTTACAAGTTATTAACTAAATGGGAGTCATACACTTCCTATTTATAAGAAAGACTCAACCCATTTACACATACAAGAGATTAAGCCACATTCAACGAGAACTTTGCATCCTAACATTCCCCTCCTCAAAGTTAGTATTGGATGTCCCAACTTCAGTTTCCAAATGAGCTTGCACGATCGAGACCAACTCCCCCCTTGAAGTAATACTGGTCTTCAAATCCGCAAATGAATACCCGAGAAGCTTCGAATACCTATATCTACAAGTTGAGCCTAGTCTATTCTTAGTGATCAATAGGTCTTTGAACATACAAGTCAAACAAGAAGACTCCAATCTCTTTGTACATCCAATATTAGTCCTATCCATTTAGGACTTGGCTGCATCACTATATTTTAAGAAATGATAATTTCACTTAAGAGGTTCATACAAACGATAACGGAGCAAATACGTTTACCAAGGATCTTTCCATTGGGAAATTCAAGCATTGCTTGAACATCATTTGCTTGCTCAAGTGTTGATGTCATCTAGGCATTTGGGGGAGAGATGGGTTTGGACATCTTCGAAATTCCAGAATGCGTTCCACCCATTTACGTGTGACAAGTATTTAAAGAGCGAAACTCATTGGACTTGGTTTTTTTCTAACTCATAACCTATTTCACTCAAATTAAAAGCTTAAGAGGATTTTCCTGTCATATCCACTCCATTGCAATGAATGTTACCTTATAAAATAAACATCCACTTGGTAAATTTGTGTTCGAACTTTATATTAACGGAATATATTTGTTCTAAATATGTGTAGTATCTCTCTATTAGTTTAACTTGATCTTTTCCCCAAATAGCTATCTTTTTGTTACCCATTCGTTCAATGAAAAGGGGCACCAAATTCTGTAACATTTTACATGGTATCAAAGCGCATCTAACTCTTGCCCTATTTCTTCCTTTTGATTTCCTTTTCTCATCTCATCACTATGAGCCACGAAGACAGAAACGCAACAGGAAAAACCAATTCTCTCCATCCTGTCTACACGGTGACTAATATACAAAACAAAATCAAAGTGCTTAATGGTACGAATGTGAGTTACTCATCATGGTAAAATTATTCCAACTTCACGCCCGTGGATGCAAAGTTCTCTTACACATCGATGGCACAAAATCCCCAATCAAGACCAACACTCAGTATGAATCTTGGGCAGAGATCGATGACATTATCCTTCAATGGATATATAGAACCCTATCAGATGATCTCCTGGTCAAAGTTCTTGAAACTGAATCCACAACTCTTGAAGCATGGAATCGTATCAAAAACATCTTCCTTAACAACAAAGGCTCCCAGGCAGCCGCCTTAAAGCAAGAATTCATGAACTTAACTCTTAAAGCCATGCCTTCTCTCGAAGCCTACTATCAGCGGATCAAAAAACTTGCAGATCAGTTGATAGATGCTGAAAGTCCGGTGAGTGAAAACCACATTGTGTTACAATTAGTTTGTGGTCTGCCTACTGAGTATGATACTGTTACCTCCTTCATTAATCAAAGCCTTCCCTAATGGGATACGACTTGTAGCATGCTCCAAATGGAACATCATCGTCAATCTGTGCAGGAATGGCTTACCTCTCCACTAATTGTTGATGCTGCCTCCCATGATCCGCCTCCACCTCAGAATAGACATGACAACCCTAACCGTGGTCCTCCTCGTAACTATAATCAACGTCGATCTTGTAACCCACATAATTGGAACCATCATGGTCAAACAAGCAATCAAAGATACCATCCATGGTTAGTGAACAGTTCTAATCCACCATAGTGGGCTCCTTGGTGGATGATGCCTCCACCATACCCATACCCAACACAACTTGGATGGACCGCCAACCCCATGGAACAACATTCGACATCAACCAACATCGCATCAGGCCACAACTAGTCATCCATAACAACAACAATCTAACGCTAACACTGCAGGTGAACATCACCAAGCTCATATGACTGATTATGATGCCTTGGAACCCACTGAACTTGGTGAAGCCTTTCAAGCCATGACCATGGAACCTGGTGATAACCAATGATACATGGATACAAGTGCATTTTCCCATTTCACGGCTAATTAAGGTAAAACCACTCAACTTACCTCTATAATTGTTGGTAATGGAAATCGTATGCCAATTCTTGGATCGAGCAACACCACTCTCATACAATCTTCCAAAAACATTCACCTCAAAAATATTCTTTATACACCACATATTATCAAAAACTTAATATCAATTAGACAATTCACAATTGATAACAACATTTCTGTTGAATTTCATCCATTTGACTTTAATGTGAAGGATTTTCCGAATATGAAGCTCCTAAGTCGACACATTAGCACCGACAATCTCTACCGCTTCACAATAGCACCAACAACCTCAACCCCTTTACCAGTGTCGCTTACACATAGCTTCTTCAACCACCGATTTTTGGCATGACCGTCTCGGCCACCTGGTCTCCTGTTAGGGATTTTCTTGTTTCAAAGTCTTTGATTACATCTTATTAATCATAACCACATGTAAACATCAAAAGATTCATCACTTATAAAGATAAATATCCCGTGATATTCACGTTTATCTATCCTAGTATCTTTTATACAAAAAAACGAAATTGAGGTGTCCACTTTAAAAAAGTATATTGACAATAATATCATGGTCGGTGGCGTTCACCATTAAATCCATGTCTTCTGCATTCGAAAGTATTAAAACGTCCGCCACAATAAATTGGCAAATTATCTTCCACTACAATAAACACAAAACAAGTTTTTTGATCGAAAAAACGTTTTTTTCAAAATCCGAATTATATGATCTGTTTTAAACAATTATACTATAGATTTTTCGAAGATAAGGTAGATTAGGTCAAGTCTTAACTTATTTTAGAGAAAATTAATCATAAGTGATCTTTGAAGGAAAAGGTTATTACACAATGATTAGTGGTTGATGATTTTATTTCTGGAAAAAGTCCGACAATTCTATTCGAAAACAAATCTTTGTCTTGGTGCGACGTATTAAAATAAACACAAAACTCCACAACAGCTGAGGGGGAAGGCTGTCATCGACACATAAACAGCTTTCCCTCAAATAAAAATCTCCCTTCCACCACACTCCTCCACAGGCGACCACCACCACCACCACCACCTACTGTCACATCCTCACTTCACAAAATCCCCAAAAATTGGGGCTAAAGGTTGATTACATGGGAGCGTCGTTGTCTAATTTGACAGAAGGAGGGTCGACAGCCGGCAACGGAACCGGACTCGGCGATATACCGGAGAGCTGCATCGCCGGTGTTTTTACCTACCTTACCCCGCCGGAGATATGTAACCTAGCACGACTCAACCGTTCGTTCCGTGGCGCTGCTTCATCGGACACCGTTTGGGAATCAAAGCTTCCACCTAACTACCAAGATCTGCTCGACCTAATTCCACCTGAGAGGTACCAAAATCTCTGTAAAAAGGACATCTTTTCCCTCCTCTCTCGCCCTGTTCCCTTCGACGATGGCAACAAGGCAAGCTTCTGAATCCCTTTTCCCTTTCGTCTCGTATTGATCTCTATTCTTTTGTTGATTTACATGTTTTTGTTTTCAATTGGAGTCGGATCATATGTTTTACTTCAAAATCTGAACTTGATTTTGATCGAATCTTGTAGGAAGTATGGTTGGACAAGGTTACTGGAAGAGTATGCGTGTCAATCTCCGCAAAGGCAATGGCAATTACAGGGATAGAAGATCGAAGATACTGGAATTGGGTTCACACCGAAGAATCAAGGTTTATAACTTCATCATTTCAAGATTTCGTATCAACAAAAAAGATGGATTGTGTTATGTGTACTGGTTGTCTGATTCTGATTCTGTTGCTATATCACAGGTTTAACATTGCAGCATATTTGCATCAAATATGGTGGTTTGAAGTAGATGGGGTGTTGAAATTCCCATTTCCAGCTGATGTATACACGTTATCATTTAGGATACATTTAGGAAGATTTTCAAAACGATTGGGGAGACGTGTATGCAGCTTTGATCAAACTCATGGGTGGGACATAAAGCCTGTAAGATTTGAATTATCAACTTCAGATGCTCAAGAATCATCATCTACTGAATCTTTTTTAGATGATTGTGATAAAGATGATGAGACAAATGGAAATCATAAACGTGGTTGCTGGATTGAGTATAAAGTAGGGGAGTTCATTGTAACTTCATCTGATCCTGCTACTGAAGTAAGGTTTTCAATGAAGCAGATAGATTGCACACATTCTAAAGGTGGGATTTATGTAGATAATGTGTCTATAATCCCCAGTGATCTTAAATTGGGTAGAAGAAGAAGAAGGAGATGTTGAAGTAAAATGGGGGGAAATCTTGATTGCTTTTGTGGAGATAGTTAAGTGTCCATGTATAATTGTTACCACTATGTTTATGATCCAATTTTGATTGGCCTTCTTTTGATGCTAATGTGATTTAGTGGGATGTTGCATTTGGTTTCTTTGTGTTGTATGATTACAAAATTATTAAGTAGAAACTTGTTTTTTGTAATGTTTTTGCATGTTTTTTTTATTAACTTTATTACCAGGCAAAACACGACACATCAAATCTCAATTATGTGAGTAACAAGAACAAGTAGTTAACTCATTGTAATCACCTATAAATAGCAATTGAGATGGAATCATTGTTTGCATAAAGCAAGAGAACACTCTAAAAAAGGATATCAATTTAGAAGTATGAAGCCGATGTTGAAGTAAAGCTAATCAGTAAGCAAGTATGATGAATATGTTAAGCAATATAAATGAATTATGCATGGAGTACTTATATGATATATTGGTATGTTTTCCTTGCCTAATATGATATGTTTATGTAGTAAACATATGTTTTATGGCATTTTATGAAATTAGCATGTGTTTTACATATGATGCATGAAGATTTGTATGCATGTTATGTATGACAATATGACATCGTATATCTGACCTCATATGGAAAGAAGAGATGTGCTAAGGGATTTTATTGGGTTGCCCTTATGTGGACCCATAACTGAGCTAACCCAAGACAAGTCTGTAAGGGTTGTTAGGTTGCAAAGAGTCGAAGTCTTATTTGTACTCTTCGTATGTTTTGATATCTATTTTACTAAGGCATTTTATACGAAGCTTTAATATCTAGTCCTTAGTATATTTTTTGTACGTTTTTACTCTCCTATAAATAGGAGTCTTTACTAGAGTTAAATAAGGCTCTTTACAGTCTTGTCTAATTTTGCACTCTGTAAAAACCAAAGCGTAATATTGAGCTGAAACGAAATCTTATTTACATTGGTGTTCGATCTTTCATTCAAATCTTGATTACTTACTCTGATTAATATTCAAACTCGATTCATAGATTCTACAATTGGTATCAGAGCAAGAATCATATATTTGATCTGATTCTCATCATTTCAAAAGTTTTTGAATCAATTTTTTGGTTTAAAAGTTTCCGCACTTTTTGAAAAGTGAAAAGTTTATTAGATCTAAGTTTGTGGTTCGATTCTGCACTTGAATTGTTGAATCGAGTGATCTCCTAGTTGTTTCAATTTGAATCAACTAATTTGCTGTTAAAAATCTCAAGTTTTCTTCAAATTCTCAAAGTTTTCTTCCGTACAACAACAACGTCATTCGATCTTAATTTCATGACTTCATTCTCTCATTTGTTGGGATCTTTAACAAAGATTCCAATGCTAATTCCTGAGTATTACGATCAAAGGGCTGATCGTATGGATGATTATCTCAATGGTTTAGATGAAGAGCTGTGGACTTGTATTTCTGGTAATATCAATCCTCCATCAAATGTTTAACCAATTGGAGCGTCTTCTGCAAGTTCTGGAGTAGAAAATCAAACTGAACGTACGAAAAAACTGGAGAAGAAATGCATGAGAGAGTTCAGAGGAGCTTTGCCTCCAGTTGTTTACAACTATGTGAGGAGTTGTACAATTGCAAAGGAAATATGGAACAATCTAAAGGAAAAGTTTCAAGGAAGTGAAAAGACAAGAATGAATTCTGTGAAACAGTGTTTGGTTGAATTGAAAGACTTCAAACAGAAAGACGGTGAAACTATTGAGGCATACTATAATCGTCTTAATGAATTGATCTATCGATGCAACCGATATAGAATCACCAGATCAGTCATGGAGTTCAATCTCATATTTGTTATGGGACTGAGAAAGGAGTGGTGAAATGTCAGCATGATGGTCAAAAATAAACAAAGCTTTGATACATCAACTTTGAATGATGTGTACAATCAGTTAAAATCACACGAAAATGAAGTAAATGAAATTGTTGAAGAAACAAAGGCTAGCTTGGGAGGTCCTTTGGCTTTGGTTTCGAAAATGACTGAGAAAGAAATTCATGAGAAAAGTGATTCTGATGGAGAAGAGGGATTCATCATGAATTCTGATGATGAAGCAATTGCATTTTATTCAAACAATCGTGTCAAAAAGTTCTTCAAAAAGCCATTCAATTCGAAGATCAAGTCTTTTGAGATTAAAGGAAGTTTTGTGAATAAAACTTCGAGTGATAAGAAGAAGAAGGAAGAAAAGAAGGATGCGAAGAATGTTGAGGGACAGATTGAGAAGAAATTAAAAGGAGATGCTGGAGTAGAGTGTCAGTACTGTAACGATGCCAATCATTTAACCAATGATTTCATGTTGAGGAAGAAAGATGAGAAGAAAAACAAGGTAAAAGATGAAGCATACTATGCTGAAAGACTGGAAGAGGTTCGTGCGAAGGCAAAGAACTTATCATTGGTTGCCATGGGAGAATAAGATGATGATGGAACTTATCAATTTTGGTCATCTGGATCAGATGATGAGGAGATGTGAAATCCGACACATGGAGCAATGAGGCTAAGAAGCTTTCTATGCAGTTGTTAGAGACAGAGAAGAAGTTAGAATTGAAAAACACGAAAGTAGATTGTTTAGAACTTCAAATTAAAAACATTATGGTTGATAGGGATAATTTGGCAAGTGAAATAAAACTACTGTTAGCACAAAGAAACATTTATTGTAATTCAACCAAAAGATTGTATGGGAAATTAACAGAATTACATCATTCTTGTGAGATAAGTAAAGAACAACATAGGAAGTTATTGCCTTTTTTAGCTTACGAAAGAGCTAAGGTAGATAATATTTCGTATGATTGTGAGAAAGAAATAGTTGAATTTGACAAAGTTCCTGATGATAGATATAGATATGGAATAGTAAAAGTAGACGAATATCTTGATGCTATTGAGTTAGTTGAAATTGTAAATGATACTTTGACTCAATCTGAACAAATTCACATTTTGAAAAAGACTGAAACTTCAACATCTGATACTCAGTCTAATTTTGCTGATATTGAAGATAATTCTGATAATATCAGTGAAATTAGTGATCTTGAGGATGTTGATTGTTCTCAGTTGTCTATTATTAATGTTGCATCTTCATCTAAAGGGAAAGAAAAAGTTAATGATTTTTTGGTTAAGAATGATACTTATCAATCCTCAACATCGAAAGATTGTGATTCGGACTTTGTGGAAATCAGAGACAGTAAAACTGATGATAGTGATGATGAAAAAGATGAGAAATATTCGAAGGAAAATGTATTTTCAAAGAATGAAGAAATTCCTCAAATTGTAGTTGACCAGGTGTATGGTGATACACAAAAGTATGACAAAGTGTTGAAAGAACAAGGTGCTCATTACCTTGAAACAAATACTGTGGTGTATCCCATTTTCAAGTGTTCAGATGATGTTGGGTTTCCAAATCAAGTGTTCGTAACAACTAGAAATGTTGACAATGTCAAACCCGAATTCAAGAAATTAGTGGAACAAGACAATTTGCAAACATCTGATGAAGGGTTCTTTGCAAATCATAGCATAGTTGAAAACAACCTAACGAAGAATTCATATGTTTTTCAAAGACAAAAATCTCAAAGAAAATGTGTTGAAAAATCAAAACTTGAGAAAGAAGTCACCAAACCAAATTTTGAAGATACAAAAAGTGAGGTCAAATTAATTCAAAAGAATTTAATGAACAAATTGAAAATTTTTCAAAAGAAAATAATGTTTCAAAAAGACAAGCACGAAAGAAAATATTTTGGCAAACAATAGAGTCTCGGAAAATGACAACTGAGTTGTCAAAACCAGTTAAGTCTGTGAATTCAGTCAATTATTCAGACAAAAAAAAAGTCCTGATCATTCAAGCAAAAATGTGTCTGAATCAAAGTCATCCAAATATATTTTCAAAGTGAAAAATTCATCTTTTTCAAAAGTAAAACAAGTTTATCGTCCAAAAACACATACTAAGTTTGAAGAGAAAACAACCCCAAAGTTTTCGAAAGTGTCAAAATCTAACATTTCAAGCAAGATTTCTGATAATTCATTGAATTCTAATCCAACAAAATTTTTCACACAACGTCAACATTTTAAATCAACAGTGGATAATTCCTATGCTGATCATATGTTTCAAAATCAAAAGTTGATTTTATTTCTCAAAAGCCAAATTTTCCTAATCATACGAAAAAACAAACATTGAAAGCTTTGCATGAAAAGGGGATAAGTTCACGAAAGAATATTGATCACTGGCTCGAAGGAAGAGGAAGAATTTATCAATCAAGTTAATATTCGAAAGATCAAATCAACGAAGCATATGAGAAGTATGTAAACACTTCTTCAAATGGAAATTTGTCATCAAAGGATTCAAATATCGTGGTAAAAGCATGGAAACCAATCACAAACACGAAGATTGAACAATCACAAACTCAGAATGCGAAGGGTAACATAAGTAATCATATGAAACAAAGAAAACCTTATGTTTCAATCCTTATAAATGAAGATGTAGACATTATTAATAGTCTCAAAACTAAAGTTTGTGGTTTAGTCAACAGTTATTCTTTCAAATCTTTTTTGAAATCTAATTTCCAAGGACCCAAAAAGCCTTGGGTACCTAAAGTCTTTCAATGATTGCAGGTACTTTGTAAAGAGCAATATGATAATAAATGGTACATCGATAGTGGTTGCTCTCGTAACATGATTGGGAAGAAGGAGAATCTTAGAGACTTTCGAAGCTTGAAAAATGCTAGAGTGGTTAAGTTTGGAAACAATCAAAAGTGTAAAGTCAAAGGATTTGGGAAAATCATGAATGGACAATTCACAGTGAATCGAGTTGTGTATGTTGAAGGCTTACAACACAACTTGATAAGTGTATCACAACTCATGGTAGGCACTGGAAATCAAGTACTTTTTAACAAAGAAGGAAGCATTATTTTGAATGTTTATACAAAAGAAGTTTTGCTGAAATCCAAACGA